AAAGGGGGATAGTATTTTAAGTTACGTGTTGTGATATTTGCTTCCATAGTTGCAAATACATCTTTGTTTTCCTTATTTAATGTTTAATTTAAGTCAGTCTTCTTTGGCTGGGACATCCCATCTGTATTCCACTGTAGAGCATTCAGGGAAACTCTCCGATTACTTCGATACCTTCGTAGGAAAGATAAACGTCTATTAAACGTGCTAAAACTATAGACCATTTTGACGATAAACGTTGGCGATAAACCTAAGTTTATTTAATTTATTTTTATTTTGACGATAAACCTAAGTTTATTTAAAGTAGAATTATTTTAAAAGAGTAAATCCATTCTAGTAAGTTATATTTTGAAAGATGTTTTGAAGTAACTTGAAAGTAATATGTTAATAATGTTTTAACGGTGACTGGAATTAAATCATCATGATGAACAAAATTTCAATTGTAAAAGGAAAATTAAATTAAATGCATGTAATCATTGTCATTGATCGGAAATTAGTTGACTTTTCAAGGGGAACAAACCAACTCCCGTTCAATGAACAATAATTGATAAAAAATACGTAAATACGAAGTGTGTTTCTTCTTTACTCGAGTTATAAGTTAAAGCCAAACCGGCAATTCTAGTCAGGCCAAATATTTCCGCGAATAGAAGGAATTATGAACCAATGCTGATACTCAAAGAACTTATTCCTATGAAGCATTTTAGTCAATTCAATTTTGAGTGAAAATCAATTACTGCAAGGGAATTCCGAAAAAAAATTTAATTCCGAGTAAACCGTCCCCGACACCCCCATGTTTATGCATTTGAGTTCTATATTATTTGTAAAATTAAACATTGGAAATTGTCATTATGAAATCGAATTCAAAGTATAAAGTTGAAATAAACATAGAAGATTACAAAAATAAGATAAATAATGCAAACTTTGTAAAAACAAATCAAAGATAATATAAAAAAATATAAAAAATAATAATAAGAAATCAGTGAATGTACATGAAGATATAAAGGCCAGAAAGGTATTAAGTAACTTACATTCTTTCTAGTGGGGAGTTCGGCAAAGTGTTCTCTTCGTGTCTGACTCAGAAGTGTAGGGTGTCCGAAAAATTCTTAGCGGCAGCGGGGGCTTTGAATAATATCAGTCGGTAAGACTTGGGTGAAGTAATTTATGGTAGTGGGTGGGACTGGAATTCTTGAGGGATGTATTTTGTGGAGTTCTTATCTGAGAGAGACTGTCTGTTAAGATTTTTTTGAAAATACTAGTGAATGGAAATTAATTAATTTCTGGCTAATTGTCGTGTCGCAATGATTAAGAATTTAAGAAAGGAAAAAAAGGAATTTTCACTGTCTAAGAGCTATTAGACAGACTAAAGATTATGAAATAGGCCCATTTTTTTAGTAACAGCATAGTATAAAAGCACGTAAGTATTGCTATTTATCGGAAATTATTTCACTTTTGATGGGGAACAAACCAGCTCCCGTTCAATGAACAATAATTGATAAATGTTAAGGTGTTTCGTCTTTTACTCAAGCAAGAATGGTGATGCCAAACTGGCAAATTAAGTTAGGCCAAAATTGTAGCTCCGTGAATTGATGGGATTTAGAACCAAAGTAGAGTACCAAAGAACTCATTCTGAATGAAGCATTTTCGCTAATACAAGATTCTTTATAAATTTTGAGTAAAAAGCAATCTATGTAGTAAAATTTACAAAATACTTGAGTAAATATCCCCGACACCTCCGATTTTATGCATGTTAATTAAAAACTATTTGTATAAAAATTAAACAGTTGTAATCTTAATTGGAATTATGAAATAAAATTCAAAGTAATTGAAATAAACATTAAAAAATTAAGAAACAGCATGCTATCTTTGCAAAAACAAATCAAATGAAAAAATTGAAAAAATTAATATATATATATATATATATATATATATATAATAAGAAAAATTGTGAAATGTACATGAAGATATAAAAGGCCAGAAAATGCATTAATTAACTTACGTTCTTTCTAGTGGGATGTCGGTAAAGTGTTCTCTTCAGTGTCTTTACTCAGAAGGGGTGTGTGTTCGAAATTCCGTTATCGGCAGCCGGGATACTTTGAATTATTTCAAGCGGCAAAACTTGTGAGAAGTAATTTATGGGACGTGGAAGGGACTAGGAATGCTTGAGGGACGTTTGTTGTGCGTGAAAACGTCTGTGAAAACGTTTTGAATATACTAACTAGTGAATGGAAATTAATTAATTTCTGGCTAATTGTCGAGTCGGAACGAGGAAGAAAATTAGAAAAGGAGAAAAGTAATTTTCATTGTCAACGAGCTATTTGCCAGACTAAAGATTATGAAATAGGCTCATTTTTTTAGTAATAGCATAAGAAAAATCTGAAAACAATTAGCTTTTTACATTATATACAGTTTTGTAATTACACTATGTACAAATCCTCCAACTGATAGTCATCCAAGTTATACCGCCTTCCCAGGTTTAGGAACAAATTTCTCGCTGTAGATGTACCATTATCTGTGCAAATATTTTTAATACGTTGTATTTGATTTATTATTGTATTACAATAACTTTTTTGGAGATGTTGGAAGTCCATTTATTAATTATCTTACTTTGCAGCTATTGCGCAAGTATTAGAAAAACTTGTTTTCGAACTAAGTGAATTTAAGATCATTCAACATTATATATATATAACAAATATTCTCTATTCGTGTAAAGCTAATTTAAAGTTAATTTAAATTTAAACTTTAAATTATGAAATTTTAATTGCATACAAATAAAAGATTAATTATTTGCTGCGAACTAATTTTACTTTATTTTTATATTTATTTTTATGAATACATGGAGATATGTAAAGTAAGTGAAAGCTTGTAGTCAAAGCCGATTTTAATATTTATTTACTTTTGCTGGTAAACATCTTGAAAGCCAACACAAATAAAATTGCGTCTTTACTTGGAGAACCACATTGAAATTTCCAAATCGAACTACAATTTTGAAATTAGTTTTTGAAGACAGACGAAGCAGCAAGCTATCTAGTAAGAGAAGTGAAATATGAATACTAAGAATTTAAGATGAAATAGGTTCTAACCTAGAATTTACAGCTAAATGTGTGAAACCTTGAGAACTGGTAAGCGAATAATCGCTTTAGTTCAGGAGACAGACACGTAAACTTGAGAAGGGTTAATTACCCTTTATTGCTAGAAATAAAGTTTACAGATGGTCCTCTCTCAGGACGTACATAGAAAGCCTCCACTTGGGCTTGAACTAAAGAATACTAAGAATTAAAACTTAACTAATGCTTAACTAAAAGATATAGGCGAAGCTATCAAATTTCTACAAAGTTGGTATTTCTACAAAATACTAACTAAACGGCGAAGCTATCAAGGGCCTGAAATATGGCCGAGTGTAGCAGCGATTCTTAACTTTTCGACTAACGCGAACCATCTAAATAAAAACTGAAAACCTTACATATCACCGCTAATTTTGCAATGATTATTTTTTAATTTCTCAATAGAAATATGAAAAATAAATATATTGTGCCATTGGCTATTTGTATTAAATATGCATACATAAAAATCATTTTAGATTAAAAATGGGTTACCATTTGTACAATTTGGTACCATTATCGAAATTTAAGTTATAATACTTTTATCTTAAAATTTAGTACGAAATTCGAGCCTGCTTAAAAGAGACAAATTTCTTTGTGTCTGGTCTTATTTAATTTAGTTTTAACTGTAAATTAGGATCCAATTTTAACTTTGTTCTGTATTTAATTTTTAAATATAACATCAAAGAAAACCCTTGTTCACACAAATAAGTTGTGCAAAAAGGCAATAAAAATTTAATACCTTTATTTGAAATGCCTTAAGTTATTTTTCGGTTCAGACAAAAGTTAGCAAGTATATTATTTTTTAAATCTTCTGTTCGAGTTCGATCACAGGAAATTTCCATCAATTTTTGTTTTTCTTCACGAGATTTTTGAATTTATGAATTTAAAAATACTTTTTCTTTGCGTACCACCGGTTGAGAACCCCTGGCTTAGAGAGAGTAAAGCCAAAAGGCGAAAGCGCGCTAATCAGAATCTCTGGTTCTCTAACGAAATCAGTGGAACTTCGACTTTAGTACTGCTCTTCCTTCATTTGCATTTAACTGCGATGCAACACGAAACTCCATGTTGTATTATAATTTAAATATTTTGATCACCTTTTGACCTTTAGATAATAGTTTTAATTTCAATTTTCGCAAAAATGCAGTTTAAGATTTTTTTCTGGGATTTGAGGGTCGCTTGTTTTAATTTTGTTACAGGGGAGTTAATTTTTGAAATATTAATAAGAAAATTTTTTCTGTAAGCTGACGAAGATTTTCCTTTTGTTCTAAATGTTTCGTTTCTGAAAGTTCTAATATATTACTTTTTTTTTTTTTTTTTTCGTTTCACATTCTATGAGGATACTTCTCGAGAATTATTTTTTTTTCCTTCAAATTCTCGTTACGCACTTTATCACGTTTATAATTCATGAATTTAGTAAATTTTTGTATCATTGTTGGACAATTTGGTTTCAGAATCATTTGAAGTTAGTTCATAATTTTCATTATCACTGAAAAATCCTACATCTTAAAACTGAATTCTGAATTAATGCTCTCATTCTTTCAAAAGTAACTTTATTTAATGATTTCTCGAGTCTACCTTCTTGATGCTATTTCTTGAAGAAGAGAATATGATAAATTTATTTTAGGTTCTTTGTTTAATAATTGTCTTTTTTGCAGTCCAAGATTACGAAGTATTAGTATTAAATTAGTAATAAAATATTTATTACTAATTTAATACACTTATTAAATTAGTAATAAATGTAAATAGATCTACTTTCGCTAATTTGAAGCAGATGTACTACTGTAGTAGTTACATGTTATTGCGAATTAAATATATTCATCATCACATTTGCTAACGGATTCAGAAACTTGATTTGTTTTACGTTATAATGGTGATCATTTCAAAAAAAGAATAAGCACGTCATAAGTTTAAAAAAAAGATTTTTATTATTCTTTCCATTCTTCAGCACCAATGATAAAACTCGTGTCGTATCATTCAATAAATCTATAACATCAAGATGTTTAGAAGATTAATGAATATAAGTTTCTCAATAATGCCTATATAATAGCTGCACAGTCATGAGGAAAAATATATTTCTACACTTTTATTAAATTAGTCATGGCAAGATTCGAGGAAAAATTGAAGAAAAAAGGCCTTTAAATGACACGACTAATAAAAATATAAAATTTCATGAAATATTTACCACAGAATAAAATTTCACATCTATTAGAAATAGACTATCAGATCATGCATAAAAAGGTAAGATTTAATTAAAATGATTTAGATACTAAACTTTATAAATATTTCATGAACAATAAGAGTCATCGAATCTTACCAAGTTAATAACAATTCTGACAATTTGGAATGACCTTACACATTACACTAATGTGTTCTAAATGAATGAGGGTAAAGGTTTTCAATAACATACACTTGGAATTTTTTCAAATAACCATCAAGATATTTTTCCTTTTGTTTGATATCAGTATACAGTTAACCTAAAAACATTGCATTGAATGTACCATTTTATATATTAAATCTCAGTTTAGAAAGAGATCACGTGAAATTACAGTCTTACTCATCATATTACATAAAACTTAGTTCAGATATTTACTGTTCATTATTTTATCACTTAATATTTTTTACATGTTCTTTGCTTAATTAGATACTAGTTAGAACCTTTATGAAAGCGAAAGCATTGGGCCGAAAAACAGTCATAAAAATCTTTAAATCAAATTTGTGAAAATTATTTAAATCATATTTGTGAAAATTCTTTAAATCATATTTGTTTTATCATATTTGTGAATCTTTGAATCATATTTGTGAATTGTTTTTAAAGTTGTAGCAGATTTGGCACTAGAATCTAAGGCATTTAAAAGATATGAAGGGTGGAAAAGCTGAAGTTGTGACGAAACAAATTGTCTTTTCTTAGTATAGCATATCAGTGACCATTCTTATTATATCACGGAGATTAACTCTTTCATTGCTTTCGGCATTTAGAGAGACACTAGCATTCATTCATAAAATGCTAGAGGCCGATACTGTTGGAACTCTGTTTCGCCAATACCATTTAAATGTTCTGAAGTGTTTTAGCCATTAGATCTTTCATTTAGCAATTTATATTATTGTATTATTATTATGCATAGAAATGTAAACGAAAATATCAGTTCATTTGCAGAACAGCTATCATCTGTCATATGTATGCAGTGCGTATAAATTCTGCTGCGAAGTATTAGCGAGATACAATTTAAACGCCTTCTTTTTATATTGTTTCGACTCTTATTCATACAATGTTAAACTTTTAAGGATCGCATGTAAAGGAGCTTTCACATGTACAGCATAAACTGAATCAGACCACATAATAGCCTTTCTCAAAGAAGTTCTTGTTTTTAAGATAAGAAGCATCAGATAATTTTACATAATTTAATTAGTAAATTCAGGTTTCTGTGAGTGTTTGATGGAAGACAGACACTAAAAATATAATGCAGTTAGAATAAATGCCGACTAGTTCTTGAATAGAAAGTTAGACTTGTCAGACAGCTACAATCTGGATTCAAGCCTTCAGAGACGATTAGAATTAATAAATTGATTAAACGAATAACACTAGATGTCATACTTTTTTCCTGTAGTCAATTCTGATTAAGACAGAGACCACAAGGAGACTGCGTTTTCCGGCATTTAGAAGCCAATTTTTTGTAGAAAACCTTTCATGAAGAATATCCCTTTCAACAGTCGGTATTTGTGCACTTGCTTAGGTAAATTACCTATTTAGGACGAGAACTATCATCTTATCAAGATACTTGTATGTTCATCACGACCAGGGAAAAAAATAGAACTCCACCGATTTATATTGGATTAATACATATCTAAATCAGGAATACTAAGGCGCAGCAACTGTCAACTGAATTCGATAGTCTTGTAACTGTTTTCATTAAGGTTATGGTTTTATACTTCTTCGAAGTTTTAAATGCACTTTCCCATTTGAAAATTGTATTCGTCTTTAAACTTAAGTTTCTGAACTACTTATTTAAACTAAATGGTAACTTATTACTGGGAAAACTCTACTTTTGCTTAGTTTTGAGAAATAAATGTAGAGCTTTACAGCCAATGGGCTTGCAGAAAATGCAGTCAGTTAATGCTGTTTAGAGAGCTAACTACAGAGAGCACATGTATGCTGAAGAAGTTCTGGAAATATAAAATTCGAAATGGGGAAAGACAAATTTAAACTACAAAGGAAAAAAATAAGAACATCTTTTATAATGATATAATTTTGTAAAAAAAGTTTTAAAGTTCTAACTTTGAAATTCCGAATTCGAAATGAATGCTTTTGATAACTTCGATACAGGAGATGCACATTAAAACTCAACTTTGGTAACTGGTAAAGTTCTAACTTGCTGTATCCAAATAACAATAATAGTAATAATAGTAATAATAATAATAAAAGAAAATTTGTGAGTTATTTAAAGTAAAATCCGCATTATCAACATCAAATCATATTAACTTTTGTTTATTTCAGGTTGCGACAAATTCGAAAGCTTAAGTTCAAAAAGAGGTATTGATCAAATTAAATGCAATTTAACGAACTGAATATTTATTACAGCATTGTGTTATTACCGTCATATGGAGTCACTGCGTTTTTGAATTTGGAGTATAAAATGTTTCAAACACTATCTGATATTTTTCAAGCTCCTTCATAACTTTTGAACCTTGAAATGTGTAAATAATTTCCTTTGAATACTATAAAATTCTTTCACCATTATAACAATAGTTTAAGATTTAAACCCAAAAGTCACGATTCAAAATTGTGGTTCCTTTAGATTAAAGAGCCAAACCCTCTAATCAGTCTTAATTTGCGCTCTACAATTTAAATTGTTCAATTATATACGTGAAGCATTTGCATCAATTTATAACAAACCGAAAAAAAATTTGCATGATTCAAATCAAATTCTTTAAGTTACAACATTCCCAAAAGTATTATGTAAATAATATTCCTCTTTTCTGTAGTTAAATTCACGATTAAAATTTGCTAGAAACTTAAGAACCATAAATTTTTACTTCATTGTGAAAGCCTGTGTCATTATGAAATAAATGAGTTTTGGAAGATGAAGCTTAGACTAGATCTTCGTTTTGATTTCTGTAAAAATTAATTTAATTTTAAATAATAAACTTAATTATAGAAGTAGATTTATCATATAATGATGTTTTGTTCAGATTTAATATAGAAAACCATATTTGAAAGATTTGTAAGAAAACAAATGAATCGTTTGACTACTGAAATAAGTATGGCTAATCGGATATGTATTTTATTTATGAAACATAGTGATAATAATGTTGGAATTGCCCAATAAAGTGATGAATGTAAGATTCATTGCTTTGCTTTGTCATCAAAATCTTATTTAATGCATAGCGCATTGAATAAGTTTGAAAATTTTTTTATAATATATGACAAACATCAATAGCATTAAATTTTGAAAAATATTTACATATACATATCACGATAAAGGTTTTGATTTTTGGTAATAAAGAAGGCATTACTTTCATTCCAAACTTTTAAGAAGGTATTTAAAGGCACCTTCTTATGCATAAGATAAATTTCCATATTTTTCGGTACATATTACATAAAGTGTGCAAAATCATATACTAATTCTTGTTTATACACATAAAGTTCAAATAATGAAAATTAATTAAGAATACACACCAAAAGTTAATAAAACGAAGGACAGATTTCATTTGATTCTAATCATCTAAAATCAATTCATTAATAATTTGCATAATAGAAAGATTCACTACAATCTACTATTCAAGTGACTGTTAAACAAATATCAAATTTCAACTTCATAATGCGATAAAAATATTTAACTTTCGAGTATCAACTATCTAGAATTGGGCTACTAGACTTGTAAATGGATGCGCTAAATACATTTAAGTATATAGTAATAGACTATATTTTGTACACACGTTAAACATATTACATATTATATAACTTGAATTATAATTTATATGCAAGCTAAATCTTCTATAAATTTCAAAATAAAATATTAGTAATATCCTTAACAAGAGTCAAAAGTTTGCTAAGTAACGATGCAGTACAAAGGCGTTAAAAATTACGGTACTATGGAATAATATCTGTATGAAAATATGTGATAAAGACAAGTTCAATATATATCTGGTCAATAGACAATTCTTTTCCAGCGCATTTATAAGAGTTCAGAGAACACATACGACATATATTCACATGATATAGCTCCTGAAATTTCATTCAAAATAGCACAACAACAAGAATCCAACCATAAAGCACATTATCATATCATATCTTCACATTATCACAAAGATGTTTCTTTTATGCAAAAAAGACATTATATACGATCAGATACTCTCCTAAAACACATATCTCATAAATGTAATAGCTCATTTATATACAAAATAAATAAGTTAACGATAAAGGTGCTGGAGAGTAAGCTGTTACCGACTGGTGGCTTTATATCATTGTGTTGTGTTATACACTTTGTGGTGTTTTCGATGTTATGAAGTAGTTGCCAAAATGTTTCTAGATTTTAATGCAGTGGTTCACTTTCATACACGCATCAGTTCTTTCTTATTGCTTAACATCGTAGCAACTCTAGTTTCAATAAATAGAAGCCCAGTTTTATGCATTAGATATATTTCCTATACACTACAACGAATCTGAGTAAAATAGACATATATATATATATATGCATATATTAAAATGACTCCACATACGGCAATCTTCAGATTTGGACTTGAGTTGCTAACAGTTAGCTACATAAATGATTTTTAAAGATAATATAAAAAATCACGGAGGACAATTATAAATAAATAGACTGTAGTTTTCGATTTTAAAAATCCATAAATAAATTATTGCAAGGAAATTAGCAGAACCATAAAATGAGTAATATATAAATATGTATATACATATATGTAATATCTTGATATCCACGAATGATATTTTTTCTAGTGGCTAGACAAATATAAACGGACGTACAACATAATAATAACGCTATGATTAAACTTTAAAAGTTCGAATATCATTGAACATTTCGTTTTTCATTCTTATTCTGTTAATTTTGATTTTCCTCAATTAGAATTTCTTTTATTTGCAGTTTTTAACTTTCAAGATTTAGATTTAAGGGAAAAAAAATAAAATGATTATCAAGAAGGCACAAAATTGAAAACTTCACTAATAATTACCGAGATTATTTCGTTTTACTCACGGGTTGTGTTTTATGAAACGCAACCCACTGGTCAGAGTTTCATAAATTATAAACGTTTACGCTAGCTTTCTCAACGTCTTGCTAGAATAGATTATTTCTCATTTTCTGGGACTCGTAACGTTTAGAGATAAAGAGTGATTTAATTTTGTCGACTTGAACAGCCAAAGTTAAAAAGTATGGAGTTAAGACAATTTCTACTATGTGGGCTGCAACATCGCCAAGAATTTGCCCTGAATTTTTAGCTTTTAAATATACAATTGGATTGAGAAGCTACTAGAGTTTCCTAACCTGTTCAAAATGCAAGGGATAAATATAACTTCTCATTACACTAGAAAGACGACTTATCGACAGTGAAAAATATCGAATCACAAACTTTGAGAAAAACAACAAGAAAAACAGTGTATTTAGGCACATTTCGTTCCTTTCAAGCACATTGGAATATATGTTTTCATGATTTTCCTAAAAATATATCTATATAATAGTATGGGGTACGTTTCATAAGTTACATCCTGCATATCGCCATCATAATGTGTCACATTATTCTGTGTCATGGGTTTGATATCATAAACGTTTCATTCTTGAGTACTAATTTGTTTATGAATGTTTCCTATATAACACTAAGTATCTAATAACACATTAAGGTAATTTTCTTTAGCTCCTTAATTTGTATTTAAGATATTTTAGTATGAGAAAATGATCTCCCATTCATACTCTGTTATTTCGATTTTTATTTAGAATTTAAGAAAGTCTGATAATTGTAAGCTTTTGGGACGACTAGTTGTACAAGTTAAATTGCTTTTTTTTTTTTTTGTTTGGCAACAGTATGTCTTGTCTATTTACTTATATAATAAAGTACTCATCAACATAATATTGATGAAAAATATAAGTATTTTACTCTTTCAGTTGTTTAACATGGATTAAATGAAATACATCACAGCGGAAAATATTTTAAACAGTTATTTATCTTGTGTAACGAGAAGCTTATGCACTGCCATGAAGTATCCTCAGAAGAAACTATGAAGTTTCTTTTGAATCTAAAGCATATAAATTTGTTTTATTTGCAATAATCTTTTATTCTAAATGAATTAAACGCAAATCGTACGCACAAGGACTGCAATAGTCTAACGTGATTCTAAAATTCACATAATGTACACGTCTTGCTTAGTTAAAGTGATGGTGCGTTACCGCATATTAAGATCACATATTTACACTCACTCAGAAGTAGGTTGATACTTCTTATTATAAATACAAAAATCACTGAGTACTGTTGCAGCTAAACTAATTTCTAGATGAAGGGACTGAATAAAGTTGTCTAAGCTTTACCTTTTCAAAGAGGGAAAATCAGAGATTACAGCACTATTTCTAATAAAAAGATCTGAGCTTCCTGAAAGCATTAAAACCAAACTCTGAATAAGTCTAACAATATTTTTTTTTATTTTTAGAAAGATCAGTTAAGTTTCTTTTCAAGGTTGTTAGGGTTGGATTATGAAACATTATAGTCATTTTTAGATTAACATTAGGGATTTGAAACATTTTAAAATATGATCGTTACCTAGAACGTTAACATTGCTTTTCTTTAAAGTTTTAACATTCAGGACTTTAACAGCTACTTTACTAAATTACTTTTTAATTTTTTCTACGTAGTCAAGCATTAGCTGTTTATATAATATACATATATACATAAAATGTGCCCCATAAGTCTCTATACACAGGGAAAATTAGTACTTGTTCATATCAAATTTTAAGCTGAACATATTGAGAAACAAGAACATATCGATCGAGTAAAGAGCCCGATCTAGTACGATTACTTCCTGCTAAATTAAATCCCATCTCATTATAATATATGGCTGATCTGCCCTATCGGTATTCTTGTATTGGTTGCTATGTTTCCGTTAAATGATTTTCAAAATCTGAAAATGGAATTTTACTTGCAGTGACAGTTGAAAGGGATGGAAAATTTCTTTCAAATGCAGTCCAGCTTTTTTTTTATGTTAAATGCCTAAAACTCATCAGCAAATATTGGATTTATTAACACACTCTGTTGGATAAAATTGTTAAGCTAACTGAGTATTGCAAACTTTTGTGTTTTCACTATAAAAACTGAAGATTAGATTTAAAGCAGCAGACTTCAGCAAAATTAGATTTCTCGAATAACTAGAAATCGAAAGTGTGAGTTCTCTGCTTTTCAGCGTTTAATTTTCATGTTATACTATGAAATTGTTGCATTTACGGTGCTGTCTAACAGGTTCAAAGTTTTGAATTTACCTTAAATTACCTTTCATTACTGATATGTCCCCAACACAATAATTTCACCTTTCGTCTTGGTTTTGCATTTCTGACTTCATATATGTCACAACTTATTTTTTCCAAATCTAAAAACTTATAAGCTCCGTACGGCTTTCCTTTGAGCATCATGCAGATGTGCACTATGCGCTATGGCACGATTTTCATTTCCATGAAAAATGTAAATAAATAATATATTTTTAAAGTGAAAACGTCATATTCACTTAGTTTAACAGTTCCATTTAAGAATTTCCTTATATCGTAATTCTCAAGAATTCCAAAAGTTTTCTTCATCCTTCCTTTTGTCATCTCCAACTCTTGGCTTTTATCTTACTTTTTTCTATTTTTTCCACCGATCTTATTATGCTATTATTTTAAGTGCTTATGATTATAAGTGCTTCTTATTGTTCTACAGCATTGGCAGCAAGCGCTGGATAATCCTCAGATATTTTAATGATTTATTAGAAATATTCTTATTCTTCTTGCCAGCCTATAAAATTTAAGGTGATCCATGCATCTGGGTATATGATGTCCTGAGTAATTACAACCTAATGAAAGCGCATTGTATTAAAACATATTATTTCTCCTTGTATATGGAGACTTTTGTTACGCCTTGCCTACACACACACACACACATACACATATGTATACATATGTATTCTTCACAGAGGAATTTCTAAATATTTACTATAAAGTTTTATCAAAAATTTCATATATTTAAAGGCCACTAAACTGTTATTGCAGTGTAAATTTTGCTCCTTTTACTAACTTTTCTTCCAATTTTATTACTTTTCAGTAATAATTTTCAAGAAAAATATTTATTTTGGGGTTATACCATTTATCGATAACGGAGATAAACAATCATGAAACACAATGATGCAGTGAAATTATTCACATTAATAAAATCTAACGGCTTTTTAACTGACTGCATCACATTTTATAAAATACTGCTTTTACTCACGTATCCAGTCTATACATTACTCTGTTATAGTTTATTAATATTTTGTTACAAATTACAAAATCTGGAAGTGCAATTCCCTTTTAGAAGAGCTTTTTAATTAGCTATTTACTTATACACTTAAATTTAAATTTTGGGTTTTATAACTAAAGGTTTTTAAAACGTGCTTCAGAGGATGCAATTAACGTGAACAATTAAGATGCAAAATAAAGAATGAGAAGGGAATTTATGTTGGATATTATGTTTATAAATCGTATAGGATTAATCAATAATAAAATCTTGAAAATATATCAATATAGGTGTGCTGATGACAACTACACTAGAATAAGTTTTATCTCTAAAAAGCAATATTTTTTTATTTTAAAGTTCTAGAAGGGTATTAAAAGAACACAGCTCTGGAAAATTAAATTACTTCTCTTATTAAGAATTATGCAAAGATTTATACTAACTGGTTTATGTTTAAGCTGAGCTGTCATTTATAAATAACGAACTAATTTTTAATTTCCCTTAAGAATGATCAACTTGCCGATATTGATGATTATTGTCGATAATTTCAATTTTTAATATATTAAACGACGATTAGCAAACAACTAGTACAAAACCAAGTAAGCGCATTATTTCTAAATTTTCCGATAAGTAATCAAGAACGATAAAATATTAATAATTTTCCCCTAGCTTTGTTTTAAAATACTTAAATTCTTTGTAAATTATTTGCAAAAATTAACAATACCTATTTTAATAAGCCAAGAGATTTTCATTTGGAAATGAAGATTAACAAAGGTGCTTTACTTCATTGATAAAAAATTACTTCAAATTTCCCTGATGATAGAATAATTACAACTTTACTACCACATCGTCAGCAAACATACCAAAAACAAGAATCTGCATTATGGGCTTTCTATTCTCACTTAAATACCTGTTCGAGGTTGTTTTCGTTGTTCTATACTGAGCCAAAAGATTAGGACGCATATGAGAGAATTATTGTGTAAATAATCTTACTCGAATTTTATGAAGATTTTTAAAATTTCCACATTTAAACAACTTTCTTTTAACAACTGTTTAGCAGATTCGTGCTTTCAGCGTGCTGACATTACATCTTCAGTTAATAAGTAAACAAATAATTTAAAAATATTATACACATTCAACACACACGCATGAAGAACATGGACAGTATAAGTAAATAGAAATTTACAAATTGGGTACAGGAATTAACGCTACATGAAATATATTTTCCTATAAAGCTTTACTAAGATTTCAAAAATATGCAAAATACAAAAATCTCTATGCTTATATTTTATAAATACTATTGTATATCTAATGTAAAAGTGCTTAGATCGAACTTCAGCAGAGATTCATTTTCGAAACTAAGTGAATATTGATTCGAAACATTTCGCTAAGTAATAATTTAAATAGTAGTTTATTAATGTTAAAACAGTGTTAATTGATTATTGTGGAATTCTTTTAAGCTCTTTAAAAAAGAAAAAGATGAAAACATTTTTATTTGATTCGATTAAGGTATCAAATGGATTTAATATTTTTGAGTATTCTAAAGGCGAACGCATATTTAGGTACTTGTTTATAATTTTTGTAATTTGATATTTATTTGTAATCATTTGTTTAATGGCATCACTGCTGAAGTCGAACAAAGCTATTTAACATCAATCAGAGTTCTCACTTAAGCTAAAGGATCATAACTTTATCCCTTTCACATCTTTTGCTTTAGGATCTTCATGAAAAGGCCAATCATTTTAAGATATTTCAGCAATTTTCATATTAATAACTGATTCATGAAATAAATTAAATAATGCAATTGTTTTTAATGTTTCTATTTTTTTATTTATGTTATAGGTTAGTGATATATACATGACACATTAAGCTATAAATCCGAAGAAAGCGCTTATGTGCATCGTATTCTACTGTAGGTGCTTAAAGCTTACGTAAACAGTGGTGGCATACGAGAAACTGCTTCAAGCAGTCAAAATATTTATGGGTGTTTAAAACAATGTATAAGGCATGAAATGACCAGACTTTCCTGGAAGACCCAATATTTGTACTAAAGTATAAATGGCATATACGACATTTTTTATAACATTGATAAAAACATAAAATAATAAAATAACAGTACCTATAAACTAGAACGAAACAGCAAATATGAGGTAATACAGTAGTATGCACTAAATAAATGCAGGTATAGAGTGCTGAATAAAAGAAAGCTTTTAAATTTTATGAATATATAAAATATATAAAAGACAAATATGTGAGGCTGTGATTTAAAAATTCAATTTTCAAAGACTCTGTAACCATAACGGCATTATTTGTACCTATGTTTTAAAACATCGAATAAACAATGAAGGCATGATTTTGCTGGAATGTAAAATTTAACTTATAATGGTAAACTTATTATCAAAGGCATTAAATTTCGTCATATAGTCTTTATATAGTCTTTAAATTAATATTTTGGTAATTTTGAGCTGTTATTTTCAGAAAATAATAGCAAATTTTCTTAAGGATCTATCACTTCAAGAACTATATATATGTTGTATAATTTTTAATTCATTTCTGAGGATGCATTTAAGTACATATAGGTATCAGAAAAGGATGGTTCCAAATAACAGTGAACATAAGAGTTCTATATACCTATACAAATGTTTTATACATTTTATCTTCCTCAATTGAATGGCACAAAAGAACTGTTTATGATATATATTAAAAACACTTTAGTCCCGATGTCTAAAAGTAAGATTTTTGTCTCTTTGTGCAACAAAATGCAACAAAAATCGTTTGACCAAACGACTTTCTGTCCATTAATGGAACAAACAATATATTGTGCATCAATTCGCTCTGCAAATATTTCTTTTGGTTAATTGGTCTTTTATTTATTTAATTTTAGTTTTACACAGCTGAACATTTTCTGCTTGAATAGTTTATAAAATCGCAATTTATAGTCTTAATGATTATTAGAGTCAGTAAAATATGTTTCAGTAAAACTCAATAAAATATATCTTAATTTTAAAATTAAATTAGCATTTAACACACAGAAAAAATTAATTAATTAATTTTTCTTTCTGGAAAATAAAAGAACGTAAGAAGTGTATCTATATATGAAGATATGAAATTACAAAGCATATCGATATATGGAAATTGCTCTAATTGCTTTTGTATGTTCAAAAACGGTTAATTTGTCTTTTCAGAGAATATAAATTGATGTCCTTCTTTTCATGAATTAGGCTGATTATGGATACCTCTAATAATGTAAATAAAATTTAGGAAAGATTTAAAAAAAGTTCTGCTTGACATATATTGTGCATATGATGCTTGCTGTATTGCACACCATATGCACTTGATTCTTCCAATTTTGAAAGTGAATCACTATTTCATTCACATCATGTTTTTCATGAAATTTTCCTCAAATTAAAAATTTTTCTTTACAAAGAGCGTGTCCTTCTTATAGTGCCTTAAAGTAGAGTCAATGTCTAAGAAATCAAACGTTTCGAAATTTCATAAAATTTCTATCACATGTACCATTATAAAAAATATTCTCAAATTTAATGAGCTTTACCTTTATTACTTATATATTAAACTTCTAATTTATCATTTCTAAAAAACTAACTAAGTAAATAAAAAATACTTTTTCTTATTTTATAGTTTATCTTCCCAATAAAATCTCGAAACTATGTTTTATTGTTAATAGTTGCAAAACGATTTCTCATAAATATAGGGAATTTGCTGTATCTTAAAACAAGTGGTATTATGTTTAAGTAGAATCCTCTAGGAAATATTTTGTCCCTTGTAGAAATGAAAATAAAAGATCAAGTTAGTTAAAAAATTGAACTTTTTTTACAAAAACACATGCGGGAAAATTTATGAAATTTCAAACTGTTTGATTTCCCCGATGTCGATTATAAACTATTGCTTCTCATGATTCTTTTTTCAAACAATAAATTGATTTATACTTCATTATCTAATAATTTTCACTATTAAATAATGAAATAATTTACAGCAGCAACAATGTTTGCATGTAAAGTGTAAGCAGAAGTAAATTACACAATTCCAGCAAAGCCTCCAGAAAGACAAAATTATGGTAATAATGCAAATTCAAAATGTAGAAAAAATTAATAATAGATTGTTTATAGAAAGAATAAAAATTTTCAACGAATTTTCAACAAATTTAAAATTTAATAAAATACTTCAGGAGGCACAATTTAAGTTCGACTACTTTGATTATTAATATGAGCTTTAAACTAGGGAAATTGTTATATTTAAATTAAAGAAATGTAAAAGTAGTAAAACATGTTTCAAATGACATAAATTTCTCTCTCAGCAGAGCCATCTATTTTCAGAAAGGATAAGATCATCCAGGATTTTGTAAAAACACAAGTGTCTCCTGGAAAAGTGCTAAGGACTGAGTTTTGAGAAAATTTTTTGTTCATTACTAGGGAACAATAACAGAGTCTTTGCAATCTTGTTTTCAAGTATAATAATTATAATACAGTTATACTAAAAAGAGAACATAAAGAATTAATTATGTTCTCTACAAACATAAAATTAGTCCTTTGTTATAACGCAACAGGTCTGGATCTAGAGAACATAATCTAAGTTACCTCCTGAACAATTTAAATGCTCACGTTCATTTCATATCAGAAGACAAGAAAAACTGCTTTTATGTGTTAAGATTAATGGCTAAAAAGCAAAATACGGAATTAATAATAAACAGTTGCTGGCATTAGTTCATTTAAAAATACTGCTAATTTTAGTACATGTAAATAAATGAATAATCAGATTCAAAATGAAACTCGACGTCGTAAATGCTAAAATATTCCTTGGAACTTCGTAACAGAATTATCATCTAAGCCAAATGAAGACAAAACGTTTGAAATTACTACATGTTTTAAAATAATTACAAAGAGTAGTAAAACTCATGAAACGAAATACGCTTTCTTGAGATAGAGATACTTTGCAAAATGTGCTTAGGCATTTAGCTAAAATGCAGCTAAACTGAATGCGGTTGTTCGTTGCAATGAACTGCTGAAGGCACATTTTTACAATTCTGTCTTTTTTAACTTAATATTCGTGATCCTTTATTCAAAGTTATGTTACGAGAGTTGACACGTTACTGAGCATACCATTAGTTCAAACTCACTACACTGTAACACATGGACCTCTTCTCAATACCATAAAAGGTGGAGGGGTAACTTAATATTGCGCTCTCTAAAAAGAGAGTGTAATATCAAGGGACTCCCACTAAAGTACACTCTCTGAAACATTTTACTGTATGATATAATAAAAAAATCTAACCTCAGCTTCTTCTGGTTGAATTCTCTTTTTAATAATTCTAAAACACATACACGCATATACGACTTATTATTTATAAATGCTATCCATAAATTTAAATTATCCTTCTTTACTGATAAATTACTGAATTATTACAACTGTAATCGTGAAGATAATTGCATAATTTGTTGGACAGAGTACAATGTTGAAATGTTATACGGGCTTAAAATGTCAGCCCAATAATTTTGTAATGTGAAGTTTCTCCATTAAACCCGGATATTATAAAAATTATATTTGTGTTATTTTTCAGGATTGTATAAAAATGTTAAATTTATATTGACACAAAATAGGACATTTGCTCCATATTTTAGATATTTTTGATGTAGAACATATTCACTGGTATATTTTTTAATTTTTATTTTCGATGCTTTGAAATTATAAGTTATGCTAATTATTTTCACTTCTTAATTTTCATAATTCCAGGAAAGGAAGTTAAAGATGCAGTTTCCAGTACCTGCATTTTTTAAGTGAAAATTGTTAATTTGAGAGAAAGGGATAACATATTATTTAATTATTGTACTCCAGTATAAGTGGAGTTCGATGGTTATAAGTATTTGGCAGAAAACTGCTTAGGTACGATAAGCAGAAAATATATCAGAATAAGTGAGAAATCATAATTTAAGAACAAACGGAAATCTCGAAGATTTTTTTGGCCCGTTAATATCTAGATCCTGACCTGTACCTTTAGACCAGTATTTGAATCGTTCGACAAAGAATAATTACATAACCGGATAAGTAAAGTAGTCCTCATTTTCCAAGTAGTGCATCGCAACTAACAATACCATACTCGAGGATCAGACTGCAAGCGATGAAGACAAAATATAGCAGGAACATGACCATTGCCAGACCTACATTCATTTTCCATTTGAAGGCTGCGATGGAGATAATGACGAAGAGCAGCATCAGGAAAAGAAGGAGAAGAGAACATGCCATGCCCGAACTGCTCACATGTACAGGACCAGAAATGAGGCAAGACAAGAACCAAGGGAGTGGCAAACTGTAAGAGGAAAAAAAATTCTATTTATTAAAATTTTTCATTGCATTTTAAAACCAATATTTGATAATTATGCATTTATAAACAGCCAGTCATTATTAAATATTTTGGTTCAAAATTTCAGTCGTACATTGATAAAGCTATCTTCTAAATTTTACATCGTTATAAATATAAGAAAAGATGATAGAAGTGTTTTGAAGCATACCGCCTGAATTTATAGGATTATAAAATGAACAATTTGCAGTTTTTAATAATTCTACATTTTCCATTGCTTTCAACTAATTAAATTCGGTACTTTTCCGTTTCGCCGGCGCAAATCTCGCCAAGCAGACTTTATTGGCGACAACACACAGTATACAGATAAAAAATGTTAACAAATAGTTCTAAGAAATTTTTATTTTTATTTCGAAAGCATAAACATTTTAATATCGTTTAAAATTTTGTAAAAAGGCAATAAATAAAGCCGATAAATCTGTAAAAAGACATTAATTTAAGAATTTGCTAGATGCTTTCATGATACATCATTCTGATTCGCCGTTTTATACCATGTGATCCCACGTAAACTATGCTACAAAAATCTGATTCTCTCAGTAATTATCTACTTTAATTTCAAGTTAAATCTTAATTTGGAATACACATTTAAATGCAAGAATTATTTCAATTCGTACGAATAGCTTACTCAGAAAGTATGTAAAACCGCAGTGCTTTGCTTCGCTAGTGCATTCTCATTAGAACTGATGAATTTCGACTTTTCTATATTTTCGCCTTCAGATAAGCAATGTGATTGCATCCTAATCAATTAATTACCGCGAATGGCCTTAGGGCATAAAATTGAACTATCTGGGCAAAAATTCTATGTAATTGTATGCCAGTATTGAAAGAAACAATCTGATATGAAATGGCTGTGACTTGTTTTAAAAATGAGGCGTAAAAGGTTACCGGCGAGGACATTCCGTTTGGCTTCGGTTGTACCATTTTTGGCGACTTTATTGCTTGCGCCGGTAAAATGCTAAAGTACCTTAAATTCTCATAGTACAAATAATGAAGTAATTGAAGAAATGTTTTGAAACTTTTTGTACTAATCACTTATGTTTAAATAAACTTATAACTATTAAATAAACACATGATCTTATGTATGACACATGACATTTATGTATATTATTAATGATCAATTAAATAAACATAACGGTATACTAAGTATTAAATTCAAATGGTTATGCCGAAACAACATTAGAAACTTATTTTACTAAACATAAAAGTTGTAAAAATATTCATAAAAATTATTATTTGAATATATTGCATATCACATAAATCAAATGTATTATAAAATTATATCACTGAGATATAAAATTAAATAAAAATTAAATAATGATGTAAATTACAAACAGTATATTTATTGCACTTAAATCGCTCAATTGTTAAAAGGTTACAGTTATAATCTGAAAGACAAAGGTCTCAAATCCCATGAAATGAGAATACTAATAATTAAATAAGTAGCGTGGAAGATAAAATTAAAAACTTTATGTCTTTTGGAATAACAACACATACTAGTTTGTAACGAATTTCTCGGCCTCGAATCCCTCAGTTGTGAAAAAGCATATTCCTTGGATTTGGAGCAGTGAAACAATGTATTTCTGTTATAACTACTTCGAAGTATTTTCTTTCTAGCCTTTGCTACTTAAGATTTCTGATTCTTGTGGCAGATTAATTAATAAGCAGTCAGATCACTACGCCTCTATCACAGAAATATTTTGTAATCCATATTGGCCTGAAAACTTGTCCGTCCATAGTTCCCAGGTATTATATCGGTGGTTGTCAATTGTTCATTTCTGTGCGGTTTAAAGAAACGTCATACAAAGCCTATTTCAATACTGTTCGAAGGAGCATCTACTGACCTTCAACTTCCGATACAGTGACTACAATTCAGGGAATAGCCTAAAATTCCTCATCTTTCCATGGAATTCAAGTTTCTGGAAAAGTATGTGAGTTCAGCAGACATTCCCATAGACTTCAAGTGTTTACAGCCTTGAAGAATGAATGTAGGAAAGCTAAATGTGCATCCAAATAAAACGAAAAGTTGGTACTTTGAAATCTTCAGGCAAAAACATCCTGAAGAAAAAAGAAATCGCCTCAGAATTTGGGACACCTGCAAGTTCTCTTGCAACCATAATAAAGAACAGATAAATTAACGAAATATTGAATGTGGAAAGTAAAACGTTCAAAAATCGGATTACACAGATTTAGAAGAATGTAGGCGAAAATATTTAAGCAATGCCAGAATTAAATATTTTTAACTAGAGGATCAATGTAGCAATTAAATGCTGCAGATTTTGCTAAGGTTCAATGAATACAAATTTAGTAATGGATGGTACGAAAATTTCAAAAGAAACTAATCTTGAAACTGCATTTGAAGATTTCTTCTGCATAAACATTTCGGTTGAAGTGTGCAAGACTTTAACAGAATTCAATATTATGGCAGATGTAAAGTCTATGTCAGATTATGACCATGAAGACAAATTACAGAAAGATTATTAAAAAGGTTATGGAGAAAGAAGGAAAAGATCTTTTCAGAACCCTCTGAAAATATTGGTTCTGAATTATTCGTCTCGATTTTTATCTTACAGAACGCTATCTAATCAGCTGAAAAGTATGAAAAAGGACCCAGTATTATTAATCAGATTATTTTTGAGATGTGCTGTATCTGTACTCTTATTTTTGTTAAAGTACGTTGTACTCTGCTTTTCTTTCGCTACTTTTTATAATTAATGTCATCTGTAGCTGTTTATGTCATATACCTGACCAAAGAACTTAATTTAACCATTAAAAAGCTTGTAATTTTAATTTAAAAGCTTAATTAAAGGCATAATATTTCATATTTTTATTAAAGCATTTTCCATATTGTTGACTTTGAATGCACTATTACTCTAAATTTATCAGAAAGTAAAGCTTCATTATCTAAAAAACTCTTTTTTGGCGATTTATTTTCTTCCCGCAAGATTCGAGAAGTTAAGGCTGGACTTTGTCACAAAATATGTGAAAAAAAGGTACAATCAATTAAATATAGAGTAAAAAAGATGGTACTGTAATGCGAAATAAATTCAAATTTCAAGTTATTAGACATTTAATATAAGATTTTCAGAATTTAATCAATCAATAATTACTTAAAATACATAGTGGAGTTTAAAAGCAACAAATACATTTTTTCATAATGTAAATTTTCTGTTAATACATATAATTAAAAAATGTAAAACATAGTATATTTAAATAATAATTTTTATGACGTTTGCAGCATCGTTGTAATTAACGAAATGTCCCCAGTATTACGTATTGTGCATCTTGATACATAATTGTTTTGGTTTTGTAATAAACATTTCGTCATTAACATTTATTTCTAATGCAAAGTTTCCGTATTGCTAGCAAACCAGAAACTCAGTTTCCTTTTACTTACTTTTGTAGAGGAATTTAATTTCTTTAATTTCAGGATTTAAATAAACATAAAAGAGGAATAAAAAATGTTGTTGTTATTTCAAAAGTAAAAATTCATTTATTCCGGATAAAAATTAATATTTTATAAACATAAAATGTATATGATACAGCTAAAAAAGAAACGGGCTTAAAGTTAATTTAAATGTTACATTTATTAAACAAATTTACTAAAGTACGTCGTGTGATTATTACTACATAGAGTTACACCAGTACATCTTATATACCCCTAAGTGTTCATGCATCATAAAATATTGCAGTTCAACAACTCTATGCATAAGAAATAGTTAATTACAAATGATAAAATAAATATTTGATCTGTAAATAAAAAATCTGCTGTGGACACTGTATGGCTTCTATGGACCCATTAAATTATACACATTTTTGCTGCACTTCATTTAAACGCATTCCTCGAACCATTCTAACTTTATTAACAGATTTCTCACCGCAAATCGAACATGCAAATTTTGAAATTAAATATCGTGGTCAGTTTTTTGTCGTACGGGAGTCAAACTTCTTCTAAATTCATTTTTTCACAACGAGTATAAAACGTTCCCAAATATAAATATAGAAAATTGTTTTAAAAAAAATCTGATTTTGTCAAAACATGAATATTTTCGTCATTTAAAACACTACTGTAACTTAGAAGTCTCATATACAAAATTTCAACATTCTACGGGTAATCGATTTTGAGTTATGCGAGATGTGAGATACATACATGCATGCATACGTACATAAGTACAGACGGAAAAAAAATGCACTTTGAATCCATGTTACAACCCATTTTGGAAAAAACAGTCTTTTGCTCTGTTCATATGTATGGATGTCAAGATTTCTGTTGAAATATGATACCCAAAACTTTTTGTGATTGCAATAATTAATTTTCTACGTAGAAAGAAGTAAAAAAAAATCTGAATTAAAGAAATATCATAAAATGTAACCTAAATCCATAAAAATCTTCTAAATATGCTGCTGTTGTGACTAATCTCGTTTGTCTGAAATTAGAGCAATCCTACAAAATTCATCATTCAAGTAGTCAACATTGCGCCTATCGTTGGGAAGAGCCCAGGGCACCATACAGGTGACCATACAGGGTTGTATGTAGGGTACCTCGTATGGTCACCATACAGGTGATATATACAATACGAATTTACATACAGGTGACAGTACGAATTTGCTCAGCTCCGACCCCCAATTCTAAAGGGCAGCACCCAGGGAGACTCCCACCCCTCTTCCGCTAACAACAACTTTTCGAGAGGACTTTCGGATCGCCGCATATTTTGAGTGCCCCCATGCCGCACAAACACTATACATCCATGCCTTGTCCGGGATTCGAGCCCGGGCCTTTTAGTACGGGAGTTAGAGTCACTAACCACTATCCGGGTAGGGCGGCCTTACTAAATATGTTTATTACTACTAAATAGCATTATTTTTTCAGTAAATAGTTGTGTAATAGTTGCGTAGTTTCAGTAAATAGTTGCGTAGTTGTCTTTCCCTTTGAACGCAGTTTTAATCAACAT